GAGGAAGCTCCTCAATCAGAAGAAGGTAATAATTATCTTCAACTCTTGAATCAAGTTACTTACCAAAAATGGTATATTACTATCAATTTGGTAATTAATCAGGAGTACACACTCACTAATGCAATTGCTTTAGTTGATAGTGGTGCAGACATGAACTGCATCCAGGAAGGATTGGTTCCTACTCAATATTTTGAGAAAACCACTCAAGGTCTTACCAGTGCCAGTGGAGGTAAGATGCAGATTAAGTACAAACTTAATCATGTGTTCATTTGTAAAGAAGGTATTTGTATCCCATCTACTTTCTTACTCATCAGAAACTTGGCACAACAGGTTATTTTGGGCACTCCCTTTTTAGCCTTGATTATGCCAATTGAGAAAATTGATTCTCATGGAATATGCTCTACTTTACATGGTCAGTCAATAACTTTTCAGTTCTTGACCCCACCAGTAAATAAGCATATCAATGCCCTTAAAGATAATATTATCTTTAAGGAAAAGCAACTGAATTATTTGCAACAGGAGGTATCCTCCTTAGCAATTAATCAAAGATTGGTACAACCCAAAGAGCAACAGAAAATTGAGTCACTACGGCAACACTTTTTAAAAGAAATCTGTAGTGAGATTCCTAATGCTTTTTGGGCCAGAAAGAAGTATATTGTTTCTTTACCCTATATCAAGGGGTTTACCGATAGCATGATTCCTTCAAAAGCTAGTCCCAGCCGCATGAAGGCTGACTACTTGGAATTATGTAAAGCTGAAATCAGCTCTTTAATGGCTAAAAAGCTTGTCACTACTAGCTACTCCCCCTGGAATTGCAGAGCTTTTTATGTCAATAAAAATGCTGAAAAAGAACGAGGAATTCCTCGATTGGTTATTGATTATCGGCCACTTAATCTTACTTTAAGTTGGATCCGATACCCAATTCCCAACATCAAAGATCTTTTGGATAGGTTACAATCTGCTGTGATCTTCTCTAAATTTGATCTTAAATCTGGATATTACCAGGTACAAATCACCGAAGAAGACAGGTACAAGACAGCCTTTTGCGTACCTTTCGGACAGTATGAATGGACAGTAATGCCATTTGGATTAAAAAATGCCCCTTCAGAATTTCAACATATTTTGAATGACATATTTAATCCTTTTACTGCATTTTCTATTGTTTATATTGATGATATTCTCATATTCTCAAAATCAATAGATCAGCATTATAAACACTTGAAAATTTTCAAAGATGTTATTTACCGAAGTGGTTTAGTTGTTTCTGCTCCTAAACTAAAACTGTTTTTAACAAAGGTCAGATTTCTTGGTCATGAAATTTGTGATGGGAAAATTAGACCTATTGATCGCAGTATTGAGTTTGCCTCTAAATTTCCAGATGAAATCAAGGATAAAACTCAACTTCAAAGATTTTTGGGTAGCTTGAATTATATTCGAAGTCACTACAAAAATCTTGCACAGGATACAGCAATTTTGTATACCAGGTTAAGGAAATCTCCTTCCCCATGGACATTGGATCACACCAAGGCAGTCCAGAAGATTAAACTCAGAGCCAAACAAATTCCTTGCTTAGCTCTAGCCAATTCTTCATGGTTCAAAATTGTGGAAACAGATGCCTCCAATATTGGATACGGTGGTATTCTCAAACAGAAAAATCCAAATACAGGAACAGAGGAGCTTGTTCGCTTCACTTCAGGAACTTGGAAAAATGCACAATTAAATTATTCAACCATAAAAAAGGAAATTCTTTCTTTGGTTAAATGCATTTACAAATTCCAAGATGATTTAATCAATCAGAAATTCTTGTTACGCATTGATTGTAGTGCGGCTAAACAAGTACTGGAAAAAGATGTCAAGAATTTAGTTTCCAAACAGATATTTGCCGGTTGGCAAGCTGATTTATCTGCTTTTGATTTTTCTATTGAATATATTAAAGGCAGTTCAAATTCTTTACCTGATTTTCTAACTCGTGAATTTTTGCAGGGTTCATGAATCAGCCCCATGGGCAGGGCAGGGGTAATACTCCAAAGGCTCGTGGCAAAAACAAGGCTAAGGCCAAAGTGGTTATACCACTAACTGATGATCAGTTTCCTTATCTGGAGCATGTTGCTGATTTACTAAAAACTCCTTCTCCAGGGAGCAGCAGTACCCAGCAACAAAAACAGAAACCAACCATGAAAGAGGTTCTTGAACAAGAAACTCCATGGATACCTAATCAAAGGTACATTCAAACAGTATTGGTACTGGATTCTCAAGATGAGCAATGGATGCCAGATCCTTGGGAAGTCAAATCCAGATATTTCCAAACTCAACAATATGCTGCACCGGATGGTCGCCATAGATATATCTATGAAGCCATTCTTACTGAAACTTCCTCTGTGGAGATCAACCACACGAAGCAATTTCCGAATTCCAAAGATAGTCCTCTTACTTATAGTAAAGCTATCTTTAAGAGGCTTATACGGCCTAGTGACTGGGGATTAAATCCCAATTTGCCAAGGAAAATATCATATGGTCACAGTTACAATTATTGGGATTATATCTCAGCTTGGACATATTCGTTCTTTTATCAAAATCCGAAGCATAGGCATTCTTGGTTTTTCAAGATATGTCCTCAATCAGTTAAGACTGATTTCCCAAACTGGGTTATACCCTGGTGGGCTATATTTGGCCCTGATCTGGATATGTTGCCTGAATCAATTAGCAAATTATATTTGCCATGGCAACAATTTCATCCTCAATTACGAGGGCAGGATAATATTCCTGTAGGGAAATCCACCCTATTATTCTTTACTGAATTTGGAATCCCTTGGATTTGGAAATGGGATTTCCAATGTGGTTATACCACTGACAAGTTACCAGTCCTTCAGAGGATCTTTTGTTATAGATGGTGGTCAGGCATGACTCAAGAACCTATTCAAGCCCTCCTCCATCAGATCAGAAAGAAAACAATGGAATATATGGACCAGATTCCAAAATTAACTATTCCAGAACCTGAAATCTTTAACCCGTTTGAACTTGTTAAAGATATGATCAGAAAACAACAACCATTAATTACCGAAGCAGATTTAATGGTTAAATGCATGGATTTTATGAGGAATAAATTTGTTAAATCCTTTGAATCCTCTACCCCTACAGCAAGAGATGATGCATCCATGGTATCAGTCTCTAGCCAGACCAGTCAAGATGGAAATCAGTTTTCTTGTCTTGCAGGTTATGCTCAAGATCCCAATCCCAATGAAGATCTTAATTCCGAAGATGAGATTTCAATAGCAGATTATTGGGATTCGCTCACAGGACATTTGAAGGACAAGATGAATCCACCCAAAAAGTAAAGATTCCTCTTATCCTGCCGACAGAAGAAGCCAAAGAACTTTCCCCCAAAGTCTTTGATTCAACAGTATTTCCTTTATCAGATGTCTACTTTCCATCAGATAAGGAGACAGCAATTAGTGGTGGGCCGACCGACTGCATTATTCCAGCACACGATCCCATGCACTATGCGGACTTCAAATTATTAATTTCAAGTCCATTTTATGTATAAATAGAAGGAAATGTTTCCCTTCACTGCATCTTTCAATTTTCTTCTCTCTCTTTTGTAATATTTCTCTGTAATAGCTTGGAAGCATATAATAAGGAAAGTTTTATGCTAAAATATCAACCAAAAAAAAAAAATTTCAAAGTTTAGCTTTGTTGTGAAATTTTTGTATGAGAGAAAATTCGATGAATCCTAACAGAGTTTGAGAGAGGGGATAGCTAGATCTTGGGATAAAACTCAATTGAATTGGAATTCTATAAATAAATAAATAATTAAAAAGAATTGGAAGAGTTCATACTTTATACAAAGGGTAACTATGGCATTAAAAATATAAGAATTAAACATTTAACATAGGGTATGAACTCTTTTGTAATTTTATTTTAAGAAAGAAAAGGGATGGAGGATAATTGTGGAGCGGCAATATCAACTAACCTCATTTTTTTTTTTTTTTTTTTTTTGGGTACTGAATGAATTACTGAATCTATCCATAATGGTCAACATGGATGTAATGGTTTACTTTTTATAAATTAAATGTAAAAATATTAAATTGTTAATGTTACCAAAAATAAAGTACTTTCACTTTTCAAATAGGACATTTATTTGGGTCAATCAAAAATGGAATGGAAAGGTGAACATTTAATTTGGGATGGAGAGTGTTGTTTTCTAAGTTAAAGGCAGGTTTGGTACAGTCGAACAGAATAGGAAAAGATCAGAGAATGGTGTGAATCACATGCTAGCAGTAGTGTGCCTTGCTTCCATATTCCCAATTCATGCTCCTTGTGCTTCTCATATCAATAATCAGATTCCTCCCTGCAAGATAGATGTGGATTTCATATTTCTCCACCAAACTGGAACTCTCTCATTTTATGGTGGGGAAAAAGGTGGTTGTCACATGTTTCAAAACTCACACTTGCAGGCTTGCTCACTGGGATATTTTGAAAGAATTACAAAGTTCTGGTAGCGATAATAACTAAGATAATCCAAATTAGAAATTTTAGATCTTGCCGCTGTAACACAAACATATTGAAATAAAATGGAGAAGATGGAGCTCACTTGCAGTCTTGAAGTTGAATCCTCCTTTAATTAATCAAATTAAATTTCAGCTTCTTTTTTTATTTGCCAGCTTCTTTTTTATTTGCCTAAAAGTAAAAGTAAAGGCTTATAGCTTCCGCTTCTCTTTTCACATAAAAGTAAAAGCAAAAGTTATGCCAAGCAGGCTTTTAGAGTGATTTCACAATTAGCAATGTGAGTGATTAAAACATAGTAAACATCACTCGGGAGAAATTCAGATGGTTCAATTATTCACTTTTCATTTGAGTTATATACTGTAGTATAAGGTGAACTGAGATGAGAGAATTTCGAAACCACAAAAAAATACCAACCAAAATCATATATTAAAACACATTCATCAACAGTTACTTAAAGCAAAATTTGATTGCTTTCACCAAAAACAGAGAACTCATTTACCGAAAATATATAAATATTTACCAAAAAATAGAGAACTCCTTACAACAGAAAATATTAGTAGGATCATGTCTAAATTTCTTTCATTTGGCAATTATTTCCTATTTGTTCTCCTCAACAGAGGTATATTCAGTAGGGTGCATCTACAGAAACTTTGTAGATCAACAACCATGACCCTAATTTCCAATCTCCCCCTTTTTGGCAATTTTGTGACAAAACCCTAAAAACATGTAATCTACCCCGGCAGAAAAAGCAAATTACAATGATTGTCAAAGAAATAAAACACGGAACTGTTCTTGAACCACATGAAGCTTCAAAACACTTGTAGCATCTCGAACATGTAATCTGCACATTAGCTCAACAAAGCTACCCGTGAAGCTTAATCAAGAAAGATAAACAACATATATCAATATGAATATATCAATGTATATGTTTCCCCTCAAGTCTAGAAACTCTCCCCCACAAATATGCACACTTCTCCCCCCTTCTTGTTACAAATTGACAAATAAAACTCATCAAAAAATGAAAAGGAATAATAAGAGAGAATTAACAAGTAAAGAGACAAAAATATCATCCATGTATAAGATATTGCAATAAGCAGAACAATATGATGATATATGGTAGCAATGGATCCAAGGACAAGTATCCAAAATAATACATATTCTATCCACAAGATAAATAGAAACAATCATGCTCAAAATCACACATGATATCCCCACCTTAAACATGAAATACCTCTTCTCCCCCTTTTTGTAGAAATTGACAAATCAAACATAAAAGGAAGAAAAGAACAAATTAGGATAGAATATCAATATCCAATAAAAAAGTGAGCTAAAAGTTCTCACATGATGTGAACAATATGAAAGATACTCATGAAAATAAAATCATGCATCATCCACAAAAATATCTAAGATATATCCATCATCATCATCATCAAAGTATGTATCCCAAAAGACATCCAAATATTGACAAGTTCATCAAAATATCTTCAAAAATATGTTCAATAATCAATATCATCAATGTCTATAAAATCAAGTCATAAACATTTAAGCATCCCTAGATCTCAACATGAGTCAAACCATCAAGTCATAAGTCCTAAGCATTTAAGATCAAAAGCTTAAACATCTAAGAATTAATCCTCATAATCCATATTGACTTAATGACTTGAGCTAACACATCAATGTCCACCACAATCTCAAAAACCACAAGTCTTTTTGAAGGCATTACAAGAATAAGTCAAAAATTGACTCAAAAGTATATGCAAACATGACTTATAAAAATAAAAAATAAAAATAAAAACAAAAAACAAAAAACAAAAAAACAAAATATATGCAACGTAGTTGAGATAATATATCAAAAACAGTGCGTCAATTCTAACCTCAAAATTGAAAGTCTTCTCCAATGGGTTCAAATCACAAATATGAACACAAATCCTCAAATATACATGAAAAAGATCAAATACTTCAAAGACAAAATACTTCAAAGACAGTGATTATCCAATCACCCAAATGTAATGAATCACCCAAAATCAATTAAAAACCTCAAATATTTCCCAAACCCTTTCAGCCAATCATAACCTAGATTTCTAGCATCAAAATGCAATAAAAGATCCAAACTTGTGATTAATGAAGAAAATCTAGCAATGTTACCTTAACAATGCATGGAAGACAAATGGGAACAAGTGATAGTACATTGAGGTGTATTGGGTGTGCAATGGTATGGACACCATGTGTTCAACATGAGGCATATGATATGCACAAGTGACTTGACTTAAACCACACCAAATCTGAAAAGTGGGAAAACCACAAAACCTAATCTTTTTGCCCTTGAACCACATGAAAGCACAAAAAGGACATCAAAGACACCAAAAAAAAAAAAAAAAAAACAACAACTTGGAACACACGTAAAATTCTTATCTAAAGATAAAACAAAATATTTTTGGAATTTTTCAGATTTTTCAAATTCTTTTTTTTTTTTTAAATAATAAAAATAAAAAAATAAAATTGACCACGAGGATGCATCAATCAATCTTTCAAAGCCAAATATGAGGTCCAAGAAATTTCTCAAGAATTCAAAACATTTTATGAACACGAAATTTTAAGACCCACATATTATGCAATAAAATTCATACTCAAGTAGCAATCACAACATGAATCTCAATTTGCAACAATTGTGAAAATTTAAAAATTTGTCTAGCAAGTTCATATGTGTGTGTGCAATCCAACCTCATCAAATTTCAATCAAATCACATTGTTCTATTGTCTAAACAATATTGGTCGAAAAGCATCAAGATAAAATTGCTTTGAGCACAAAAATATTTTTTTTTTTTTACTTTTCTAAGGCAGCTTTCACTCTAAAGAGCAGACAGCAATTCTCTATTTCAACTTATCTCTTCCTTTCTTTTTACTCAATTAGCTCCTCTTCAAAGTCTAGTAGGAGCTTTCGAACTGGTCTCAATAGGTAGCATTTTCCTTAGCAAAGATTTTCAGCATTCTTTTTATTTTTTTCTTTTCTTTTTACGCTGAAATTTTTTTTTTTTTTTTTTTTTTTTTTTTAAACACATGCTCTATTTTTTAAAAAAACAATAACCTTTATAGCTTTTATGAGCAATATGACCTAGTCAACTTCACAATGATTTTCAATTAAATTTTCTCAGAGTTGGACTAGTGCACATGAAAAATATGAACTCAAGAGACTCATCTCTAAAAAGAAATAAACAAAGCAAATTAATCTTCACAAGTATAGATTACAAATCAAGAACTTCATTAATCAAATAATAATGTGTCCCAATTTGCATTCATAAAAATATAGTGAATTTAAGAAAAATAAATATCACTCATATAAAACACAAAAAAACATGATCTTTTCATTCTCAATGAAAAAATAAAAATAAAACCCAAATCCTAACCTACAAGATATGGTCCATGGAAATAAGATAGATATCAAAACACAATGCATGACCACAAAAACTTTTTAGGATTTACTCTGGGGGTTTTGCATCCAATAAATGACCTATTGAAAACAAATTACATAGCATCAATAGACAAAAAATAAAAATAAAACCCAAATCCTAAACTACAAGATATGGTCATGGAAATAAGATAGATATCAAAACACAATGCATGACCACAAAAACTTTTTACTGGGGGTTTTGCACCCAATAAATGACCTATTGAAAACAAATTATATAGCATCAATAGACAAAAAATAAAAATAAAACCCAAATACTAACCTACAAGATATGGTTCATGGAAATAAGATAGATATCAAAACACAATGCATGACCACAAAAACTTTTTAGGATTTACTCTGGGGTTTTGCACCCAATATATGACCTATTGAAAACAAATTACATAGCATCAATAGACAAATACAACCTCAAATCATCTTTCTTCACCCAAACAGCTTTCACTCTCAACTTTTGAAGAGATTTTTGAGGAACATCAATAACATTCTTTTTCTTATGTGAATTCCTTTTAGCATGAAAATTTTTAAGTTTATTCCAATTATTTTGCTTTCTAGCAAAGGAATTATAAGCATGAAATTCAGAAAAAGATTTATCCCTTCTCTTCTTGTAGCAATAGTGTTAAGAACAATAAAGCACATTGGACACCTTCTTAGCTCAACACAAAGTTTAGGCTTAACAATAGGCACATTCAAGTTCTTAGGTTTAATAACGCCTCAGTAAAACCTAATCCAGTTTTATCACCTACATGCTTACCAACACTAATCATCTTATCAAGCTTAATCTGCCCAGAAGTAAAAGCAACTAATTTCTCTTGTGACTTTTTCAATTCAAGGGTTTTTTCCTTTCTTTCAAAAGATCTCCTATTTCTCTGAAACCAAATGCACCACCAAATGCATAAAGATGGAACCTCCAAAAATCACGGAATTGAACCCCCATTGGACAATCTTTCTAAGCCTCAATCAAACATTTGGAAGACCTCAGCATAACCTACTGATACCCAAACAAACCCAGCATCAAAATCCAACAGTCCCGCGCCCGTGACAAGAGGGAAGCCACACCCAAAAGGCCGAAATATCTCCAATGATCTCCTTACAATACAAGAGCTCCAAAAAACTAGTAACATCGTCAATTTCCCAAACCTGAAAATGCCTCTAGAAACGAACATCCCATATTGTTCTCCCACTATCAAGGCTATAGCAGTTTACCAGAGTAACATGATGGTTTGAAGCAATCCGGAAGAGTCTGGGGAAAGTGAGCACAAGATTACGATCACCACCCCAAAAGTCCTCCCAAAAGCGAATTCCACAAGCATCCCGAACTCGAAACCTAATATGTCTGGAGAATTCGTCACACCCCTTCCGAATAAATTTCAAGGCCCTAACCCCATTTGGAAGTCTTGGGTATGATCCCTCAATCAAGAGGTATAAAGTTCTTCTCTGCTGTCAGGTGGAAGATCGAATGATTCAGTATTACTTGTTTACACTCAGTACAGATGATGTCTGGCAAACGTTGGATCATGTATCGTTTTTTGACTTGATGATTGGTGATAGCTCGTGTTCAATTTCTGGTTTGTTATCTTTTTTTGTGGTTACTATGACATTGCTTTGTGTTGATCTTTGAGAACAGGACTTATATAGCACAATGAAGTGGGCTCTGTTTGAGACTTTGAAACAACTGCCTGTCAGCTCACTTCTACAAATTCAGTTGTTTTCAGAATCCTTCAGAAAAGTGATTGAGAATTTAGATTTTGTTGAAATGCAATATCAGTTCTCATGCAGTCGGCAAGATGGATACAGTCTCTTTATTGTGAGTAAAAATGAGGTCGACGATCTGTACCTTGTCTATAGGGTAGATGATATAGAGGGTGATTGAGATGCACCTGAGTTCCTCTTTAATGTACCTATGAATAATCAATATGAATTTGAGTGCCCAATTAATTCAGTTCATGGTTTGTTGGCCATTAACTCAATAATATGGAATCCAATTACTTCAAGAGTACCTATAAACTGCTCATCTTTGAAGTTTTCTGACCTATTCCACACAGAATGTGCAACAAAGATTGAATCGACCTCACATTTATCTGGGTATGATCCCTCAATCAAGAGGTATAAAGTTCCTCTTTGTTGTAAGGTGGAATCTTCTGCTGATCGAATAATTCAGTATTACTTGCTTAGACTCGGTACAGATGATGCCTGGTGAGCGTTGGATCATGTACCGTTTTTTAACTTGATGATTGGTGATAGCTCATATTGCATTAACGGAGTAATATATTTTGTTTGATATAATGCGTATTCATAATCATATATAGTAGCCTTCCGCCTTGCAGATGAGAATTTCCGAAGAATAGAATTCCCAACAACAAAAGACAAGTTCATATACTCTTTGATGGAATCGAGAGGGCAATTGGTGCTTATAAAAATACAATGGAATCTGTATGCGTTTTGAGAAATGATGGTGAATGAGATGTTCATAAATTTTACCTTACTAGTGCTATGTTACAAGAGTTTTTTGTACCAGGGTTCTATTATCCCATTGGTTTCATTTTCTACGGGAAAGCTGCTAATACTCAACGAGTTTTGGAATTATGATTATGACCCCAAATTTTTCTGTTACAATATAAAAACTGCAGCATTCAGGCGAATGCTGTCCAATCTTCCTGATATATTTGGTGGTCGTGTACTTTGTAGAACACATGTGAAATCGTTGGACAGACTTTAAAAAGAATAACTAGATGAAGAGGTGATAGAAAAACCAGTACCCGCTAAGGTAACATTTGGC